AACCAGGTTAGGCTGGAGTATGTGTGGCTCAATTGGGTGAGAGCCCTTGCCGAGCGATGTGGCAGAGGCCCAGAGTTTTTCAAAGGCCCCAGCACAGGCCAAATAAAGAAGAAACCGCAGAGGATTATTCTGGACCAAGATACGTGATATGGTCCGATATGGTTGGGAAATAATTTTCATATAAAAAGTACAGAATATTTTTGTATGAATTCTATTATTTATGTCATTTTAAAATTCATTGGAAAATGTGAAGGTATAAATTAAATAAATATGAGTAAAATATGGGGAAAGCCTTCCAAAAAAATACTGGTTTTAAGCTAAATATCCAAAATGGAATGAAATGAGGATCACTGCTTTTAAGCAGATTTGTACATTAACAGTTAAAGGCTTCTATTAAACTAAAGGCTAGAAAATAGTAAATTCTACATTTCTTGATGTAGTTCCCTTGTGTAATGGAATTTAAGCGTAAAAACAGGTATAATTTAATCAAATAATTTTTAAAAGGCATCTAATTGTTATTTTAAACAACAACAAGCATTCTGATATATAAATGATCATCTCAGGCTCCCTCATATCAAATTTAAGACAACAGAGAAACAAAATTAATGTTTTTCCTACCTATAGCTCTGGAGACTGATAGACTTCCATTTACTCTCCAGGCACCAAACCAGACTACACAACCTCCAAGGGCCTCAATTCGCTGCTTTTCATCCTAAATAGCATTGCAATAAAAAGAAGCAAATAACTGATTCAGGATTTATTTATCTACTATAATAGTAACAACAGATATAATATCCTTTGGCTTCCATAAAAGTTCTCTGTATTTCTCTTTTGGGAGGTGGGCAGAGTTGCTGAGATTAATGGCAATAATTATAATAGTTAAATGAGTCCTAAGTAAGAGCTAGGAAACTGCCATGTGCTCTAAATAGAACAAACCATACATACCTCTCTGTCTGGTTTGTGTGGTTTCATTAGTTCAACAGCTTGGCCCTTTCTCACAAGCATAACCTGGGAATCGCCCACCCAAGCCACATGTAGCATGTTGCCTCTGATAAAAGTCACCACTCCTGTGGTCCCACATCTTAAGCTCTGAAAAGAGTTTAAATAAGACTACAGTCAATGAAAATAAGTAGACAACAAATTCTCATTGACAAGCAATTTATTAATAAAAACTTTTCATTTGGGGAGATAGGCTATTAATAATGCAATTTCACAAAAATATAGCAAGTCATGTTTTTCAAAGCAGGTATGTACTTTGGTTTACACATAAACACAATCCACCTGATCTGTGCTATGCAAGATAGGGATGATTGTTTAATTTCATTTTAAATACTAGATTTTAAAAACTGGTGGCTTGATGGGCACTGGTGACTCATAACTGTAATTCTAGCTACTCAGGAGGCAGAGATCAGGAAGATTGTGGTTTGAAGCCAACCCAGGCATAATAGTTCTTAAGACCATATCTTAAAAAAACCCTTCACAGAAAACGGCTGGTGGAGTGGCTCAAAGTGTAGGCCCTGAGTACTGAAAAAAACAAAACAACAATAACAAAACAGGTGGATTGTGACTTGTTCAAGGCAGGTAACATTAATACACAAAACAACTGAAATTCTTTTTTCCTCCCAGTCCAGTGCTAAATTCACTATATAAATCCCTTTTTTAGAATAAAGACGTCCATATTCTTGTCAGTTTCATTACCAGTGAGGTAACCTAGCTGTACAAAGTAATAAATAAGGTGTTTGCTTGTTACACACAAAAATGCTCCTAATTTCCAGATACTAAGATAAGGAGCCAAGAGACAGCATGCATTCCCTAAAGTACTAAGATACTTATATCTTTTTTTTTTTTTTAATACCTTCCCTACAGCAGTTTTAAGAAACTTTGCTTTTGGAAAACTGGCATAATAAAGAACTAACAACCTGGAATTTCACAGCAGTAGCTAAGACTGTATTTAAAGCTTTTGATCCTACTATACTAAAATGACATCTCCATTTGACATAAGTCATCAGCAAATAAGCATGACTTTCTGTTACTAAGGACCTGACCTAAATTAGAACCAATGCATCAGGGGTGGTAAAGGGCTTCTTATATCCAATGAGAAAAACTTCTCCCTTTTCCTATATAGGGAAAGTTTATTATAAATCCTCACCCACTGATAAAATGTATTCCCGCACAGAATGTTCAAAAACTCAACCCTCTGGAACACATGATAAAGATACTTTAGTGCATATGCCCTGGAGAGAACAGGAGGCACGGCTGCTTCACAACAAGAATAGCTACTTTTTTCCCAGCAGTTAACAGCGCACGGAAGCACAAGAAGGAGAAAAGTAACTACTGAGACAAACCTAAATTATTAAAGAGAGCTATTAGCAGAACTGAGAGACTTATGACCATTGGGGAAAAAAAATAAGGTAAATGTGTCAAGAAAAAAATAATTTTGAGGAGAGGGGGAAAGGAATAGACTAAGGATGAAAAAGACAATGTGATTCTGTTTCTTGTTGGTGATTACAGATTACAGATCACCTTGGAGCCAGGTCTGTCCTCAGTCACAATGCTGGCATACAAGAGACTGGGAAGGTCAGAAATCAGAGTTGTATTTTATTTTCCACCCCCATCTCTATGTGTGCACTCTAGTGGTTACTGTTATTTGATTTTCATATTAATCCAAATTTGGGGGTTGGGGGTAAAGATACAGAGTACTTCTCTTGCTTAATAACTAGTTCTGAATTAGCCTTTCATTAATTCCAAGATCTACTATTGCTTTGTAGCATAGCTTTATATTTTTCTTAGGGCCTTGTGCTTGCTAGGCAAGTGCTGTACAACTTGAGCCACGCCTCCAGCCGCTGTAACATAACTGGGACATTAAAGAAATAGACTAAATGATTACCCTGATTGCTCCAAGTCAATTTTTAGTATGTGTAATTTTTTTTTTCTTGGGGGTACTGGGGGCTTGAACTCAGGGCCTCATACTTACTAGGTAAGTACTCTACCACTTGAGCCACTTGGCCAGCTCCGAGTCAATTTTTAAGTTAATGTTTAAGCTGTGTAGCAGGAGTGTTATTTTCTGTATCTAATTCTGTAATTTAAAAAATTATTTCTATTGGCCCCCAGTTAAAAATCCAACATAGAGTAATACAGTTAATTATGTGCCAGTGTCCAGAATTATAATTAGATTAAATTAAGTTTTTTTAACTTTTAAATCTTAATATAGAGCCCCTGAATTTCATTAGGAGAAAAACCTTAGGTCTGATTAGCCTTAGCAATATAGGACGTGAGCTCTGGCTTTTCTTCCTGTTAAGAAAAAATCAGTTCAAGGATCATCTAAGGGCTTACCCTCTCCAATAAAATTTTCTCTTGAGATACACAGCAAAATATTTCCTACCCATTTAGAACCAAATGTATGGAAGTAATCCCAGTTTCTGTTTCTTTTTTAAAATCATTGTTCACCATATCCAGATCTTGTTAGCAAGAGTACTTAGAGAAATTGGTCCTGGTATGAAACTGACAGGCAATGGAGAATAAAAGATAAAACTTAAGTGCCAAGCCAGATGCTGGTGGCTTACACCTATAATCCTAGCTACTCAGGAGGCAGAGATCAGGAGGATCAGGGATTAAAACTGACCTGGGGAAATAGTACATGAGACCCTATCTCAAAAAACACCCAACCCTAAAAAGGGCTGGTGGAATGGTTCAAGTGGTAGAGTTCCTATCTACCAAGCATGAGGCCCTGATTTCAAACCCCAGTAAAGCCTCCCCCACCCCCGCCAAAATAAAATCATCTGCCACATAAGTTTGGGCCAGAAGTGATGGCTTACAGCAGTTTTCCCAGGTACTTAGGAGGTACAGGTAGGAGGGTTGCCATCCAGGGCCAACACAGGCAAAACTATGAAACCCTATCTGAAAAACAAATTAGAGTCAAAGTGGAGTGAGAAGGGAGGGGCATGGCTCAAGTGGCTTCACACTTGCCCCCAATATAGCCAAAAAATATATATAATGTCATACAATGTCTGCCCAGAAAGAGAAAAATTCAAAATAGCTTTCTAACCACACAGACCCAGTCAAACTCAGCTAAGAGCCTTTATTGCTGGAATTTACAAGAAAGTGGCATACCTCTCTGGCTGCCTTCTGTACAAACCGCTCATCAGTGACCCGGAAGGCCCGGCACAGAGCCTCAGCAGGATCATGGGGAAACATCTCCTGCCGTACTAAGTTAACATGTAGGTGAATGGAGGCATAGATGGCAGCATCTACTCCCCCATGGCCATCAAACACTGCAAAGTAAGCTTGTTCTTCCTGGTCCTGTCAATAGAAACACAGAACAATTAAAAGAGTTGGGTATAATGATTCAAAGGACCCAATTCCTTAGAAACATTGTCCATCCTCCTCCACTGCATTTGTCCCTAATGAGACTAAATGTTTCCCTTTTCTAACATGCCTGATCAACTGCTGAAATACCTGCAGTATTGGGGCATCTGTGTTTACACATGGAGCACTGGAACACATCATGCTCAATTAGCTCAGGCTGAAGTGCCCTCTGTGGAAAGTTGCTGTCTTGTTCCATGGAAACCACCCACATACATTTGCTTCAAAATTGCTGTTACACTTTGGAGGAGGGAAGAGGAAACGGAAAGTATGAGGAGAAATTGAGCAAAAGCTGTTTTGGATTGAGTACTTTTTTTGAAATGCTAGAGAACAATAGGAAATAATTGGCCTTCAGCACAAGGGCAATTATGTTCAGGTTGTTTAAGATACATGGAAATATAAAAGCATCTGCACAAGTTTAAAAACTATAATACCTCACATTAAATTCTCACCATAAACATTCTCTAAACAATTAGTTAACTAATCTTGAACCACATCAGGCACCCAAATGCCCTGTGTGGCTGACAACTTTGCCTTATCCCATTATCTAAAAATTTAGCTTCACATTTCTCACACAGAGGAAGGGTCTTCCATCCTTTTGCTTTGTCTTGACAAAGGAGGCCTAATCGTAAGTTTACTTTTCCGCCACTGTGTGGTTTGCTTCTTCACCTTCAACTCAGGTGTTTAAATCTCAGGTGTATCTCGGAGGATCTGTGTGTGACTCAAGGCTGACTTGAGTCTTGAGCTACCTTTTAGGCAACGGTTACTAATGATTTTCATTTATGAGTCTTGTTTCTCCCCCGAGTCCCCCCTAAGGCCCCAGGGCAAGGCCCTGTCATTGATTCTTGAACAAATCATATTTTCTCATTTGTTTTTTATCTGTGAGAAGTAGAGATCAGTTGCTATTTCATGGGTATTTAGAAGGAATACTAAACAACAGGTATATTTGTGACCTGAAAAAGTTCTTGTTAACAAAAGTACCACATATAAATGTCCATACAGTAAATAACAACACCCAAATATTATGAACTCTATATCTAGTACAGATATTGCAAGCAGTCCATCTTACAATTTAATCAACTCCATCTATAATGCCACTGAAGACTGACTAAACAGAACTGTCTATAAATACTTCTTTATACTAAAGCAGTACTCAATTTTAAACAACTCAATATAGCATCCAAAGAAACAAAAGGGCTGGGCACTGGTGACTCGTGCCTGTAATCCTAGCTAATCAGGAGGCAGAGATCATAAGGATCATGGTTTGAAGCCATGAATTTCTTTAAAATAGTAATATAAGGGCTGAGGATGTAGCTCAGTGGTAGAGCACTTGCCTAGTATGTATAAGGCCCTGGGTTCAATGTCTTAACACTGCAAAAGTAAGTTTTTAAAAAATTTTAAAAGTATGCAGGGCTATGATCCTAGCTACTTGGGAGGCTGAGATTAGGAGGACTGTGGTTCAAGCCCAGTCTACAAAAATACTTAAGACCCTATCTCAAAAAATAACCAGAGCAAAATGGACTGGAAGTGTGGCTCAAGGGGTGGAGTGCCTACTTTGTAGGAACAAAGCTCTGAGTTTAAACTCCAAACCCATTGGAAAAAAAATTTTACGTAGTACAGCTTCTTTTTAAAAACAAAAAAATTATTGATGTTTTCCTTATTATTATAAAGCTTAATTTATGAAAAGAAGCAAAATGGAAACATCACTTATAATCCCACCATCCATACATAACTGTATCTATAAACAGATAGAACTTACTTCTTTGTGTTATTGAGGATCAAACTCACGGCCTCAAGCATGCTAGGCAAGCATTCTACCATTAAGCTATACCCACCAGTCCTGTATATATATAAAATATATATATATATATATATTTATTTATTTATTTAAGGATCATAGTGTATTTAAAATTTTATATTCTACTTTTTGTTATTTATTGTATCAAGAGCATTTCTGTGCTATTAAATATTATCCAAAGACATTTTTAAATGGTTTATATATCTTATGAGCATATCATCATTTCCTTTAATGTATTTCTTGCCGAATAAGCCCTCAAAAGTCTGTCTCACTGGAGCAAGGTGTTCCTTTCTGAGTTAGGCAAAGGCCTAACTAAATTTCTAAAATTTTTTTTTTTTTAATTCAGGGCCTTGCACTTGCTAGGCAGGCACTCTCCCACTTGAGCTACACCGTAGTCCTTTTGCTTTGGTTATTTATTTATTTATTTATTTTTAGTGAAAATGATTGTAAAGTTTATTAGGAAAGAAGTACACTTTCAAGTAGACTGAAAGCATTCATCTCTAGATTGAGAATGACCTGGTTTTGAGTAGACCTTATTTTTGAGATAAGGTCTACTGTTTTTGCCAAGGCTGGCCTGGACCACAGTCCTTCTATATTTGCTTCCTGTGTAACTGGGATGACAGGCATTTACCACCATGCCTTGCTTTTTTTTGTTGTTGTTGAAATGAGGTCTCATTAATTTTTGCCTGGGCTGGCCTCAAAACTGCAAACCTCCAGATCTCCACCTCCCAAGTAGCTGGGACGACACCCAGCCCTTCATTACATTTAACTGGGCATGGTACTGGAAACAAAGATATCAGCTAGTATCTTTGTAAGTACCAGTTAATCACTCTATCGTAATCACTGCTGATTTAGACACTGACTGCCTGCTGAAACTTAAATTTACCTGTTAAGGAAATGTTGCGTTTTATATAAATTACTACATTGTAATTTTTAAGTTATGGATTTCAGGAAAGAAAAGAGGCAAGTGACGAGTAAAGGAAACAAACCTACCTGTATTTGCATGAATATAATACATTTAATAGAAAATGAAGAGGACGATCACAAGAAAACAGTTATTAAACTGACAGGGCTCACATGGATCCAATTTGTCAGAGATTCTTGAAATGTAATTCCAACTCAGAGACCAAGGTTTAAAAAAGAAAATCACCTAAATCAGAAAACTGTCTCAGCCTTAAAATTTATTCTTTCAGCGTTTGGGTTTTGTGTTGCTTCAGCAACATAGTCTTTTAGGAACTTAGTAAACACCATTTGATTTTGCTATAGAAATATTTTTCTTTTAAAAACAACTTTATTGAGATATAATAGTTTTCTTTTTTGCTTCTATGTTTTTAGAAGCTTACACAAGAAACTAGTAATTTCCCTTGCCTTCATAGAGGGGAACTTAGTATCTAGAAAACAGACTTTTATTCTCCCAATTTTGAATCACATATATCTATTCAAAATAACATAATGGTCCAATTTGGAATGATTTGAAATTCAAATTAATTCAAAATAACAAAATAAATTGTTCCTTTTCTGTTGTCTAAAGCAAGCAAATTTGTGCCACTTTCATGTTTGTCTTACTCTAGCCTATCAGAGATACTTTAGAAATATTAGTGTTTCTTTTCTAATAGGACCATGAAGGTGTTTGTTTTAAGTCTCACTGCCTCTCCAGAAGCACTTTTTACCTCTAGGTTGAAGAGCATGTTAAAGTCAGGAATGCAGACATGTTTGTCCTCCATTTTCCTGCGCATGTTTTTGATGGCATGGATTGATGTCTCATAATAAAGCTGGGGTCTCCTGCGGAGAGGGAACTCTTTCACCCAGCTGCAGCAAATCTCGTGTAGTTTGCTGAAGACAGAACGGGCCAATTTCACTGTCTCAATCTCTGTGAAGGAAACAGAAACCCCCAGTGAAGAGCTGTGTAACACTGCTTGTCATTTGCCAGCTTGGTAAGTCAAGCTCCTTAACAAAAGAAATTCATCCTTCTTAAGAAAAAGGAAATGCTGTTTCTGTAGAGAGAAAGCTGACAGCCTTTCTATAGAAAATCACCAGCCAGAAGCTGCCACTAGGATATCCTTATGTCATGACAAAACCTCTTGTGAGGACTGGACCTGTTCTAGGCTTGATTTCTTCCAGCCCAGGAAGCACTCTGGTGCTGCCCCCTAGTTCGTTGGCTGCTATGGTTGCCACCTGGAGAACTAAGCCTCTAGACTTAAAAGAATGATTGAAATAGGAACACAGGTTATCCAGCTAATTGGAATAGAAAGGCCTATGAAAACTGCTTATAAACTATAGGAATAAGAGATTGCAATTTCTTTCTGACCTCTTCCTTTACATACAGTTCCTTAACTTTGCTGTCCTATAAATGGTCATTTGGAACTGAATTATATAGTTTTGCCATTTGATATACATATTTTTTTAAATATTTATTTTGCAGTACTGGGGCTTGAACTCAGGGCCTACACCTTGAGCCATTCCACTAGCCCTTTTTTGTGAAGGGTTTTTTCAAGATAGGCTCTCATAAACTATTTGTTCAGGCTGGCTTTGAACTGTGATCCTCCTAGTCAGGATTACAAGCATGAGCCACCTACTCCCGGCTATATTTTTTTATTGAGGTCTTAGGCTGAAGTTTAAGTGTTTTAACCAACAAGATAACTAATGAGTTTAAAAGTTTTACATTTCTTTGAGGATAAAAAAGTACCTAAATTCTTTCTAGTGAGTGACCCTGGATAGAAAAAGGGAGATAGCAATCAGAGGAGCAAAACCAACAGGATTCTTCTTAACTGTAGATTAGGGGTATAACACTTGCCTAAGTATGCTTGAGACCCTGAGTTTGATTCCCAGAACCACAAAAAAAGGTGGTGGTGGGGATGATTTTATCTCTTTGTGAAATATTCTAGATATAGAATGTAACAAATTACCCAGTAAATGCTATCTGTAATTATAAGATGTGGTTCAAGAATTATAATAGAGGACTGGAGGTGTGCCTGAAGTGATAGAGGACCTGCCTAACAAGTGCCAGGCCCTCATTTCAAACTGCAGTACCTTCAAAAAAAAGTTACAATAGATTGTGTGAACAAAATATAATGGGGATACAAGGAGCAACTGGGAGAGGGAGTATGGACAGATCTAGTGGTTACTAAATATTAGAGGAAGCTGGTATTAGTCCCCTTCACCAAACTAGTCTGTCAGCTCTAATAGTGCAATAATGTAAATGTTTCCTATTTGTGGTGTTCAGTGTGGTAGCCATTAGCCACATGTGGTTACTGAATACTTAAAATACAGCTAATGTGACCAAAAACCTGAATTTTAAATTTTTTCTAAGCTTAAGTAGCCACATATAGATAGTACCCACCTTACTGTGGGTATATGTCTATATGTCTAATGCATATGTCTTATAAGAGTAATACATAAACCAAAGAATATGATTTACATTATTATCTGGGAGGTATCCTAATAGTTAATATCAGTTATCTATTTCATTCTACCCCATTCTCCCTCATAGTTTCTGAATTCACTTGTTTAAAAACCCTCTGTTGTGATTGAGTCAAATAAGGACATACTCATCTCAGGCTGCATTTTTGGAGTCTCTCCTGCTGCAGAGACCAGATGAGTTATAGTGATATAAGCAGAAATGGCTAAATGAAATAGTTTTAGGGCTAGGGATATAACTCAGTGGTAAAGCACTTGCTTAGGATACATAGGGCCTTGGGTTCAACCCCCAGCACTGCAGAAAAAGGAAAAAAAAAGAAAGCCTGGGAGGTTTTTACAAGAAGGAAACTGAAGCCAATAAACAATCCAATAATTTGACTGTTTTGAGCACCTCCAACCCTTTTTTTTTTTTTTTTTAGTTTGACATGTTTATTTTTTCTCCAGATGAACTTTATAATCATTAGCCAAGTTTGGGCAGAAAAACCTGTTGGTGTTGTTTTGGAGATTGCACTGAATTTATAGATTAACTTAGATAAAACTGAAATCCTTTTCATACTGACTCTTATCCAAGAACAAGTTTTATCTTTTTTTTCTTTTTTTTGTGATACTGGAGATCAACCTGTTATGCATGCTAGACTGCTAGGCAAGTGCTTTACCACTGGGCCACACCCCTAGCACAATTCTTTCTCTTTTTTGAGGGGGAAGGAGGAGATAGGATCTCTCTATGTTGTAGGCCATCCATGCTGGTGTTGAACTTAGGATTCTCCTTCCTCAACTCCTCAGCAGCTGAGATAACAGGTATGTACCGGCTTCTTCATATTTAACACCTTATTCCTAATTATTTTATCTATTTGTTACTTTGAATCAGAACTTTGCTTTAATGTATTATTTGCTGAGTAGCAAACAGTGTTCTTTTTTCTTCTTTATTCCAATCCATGTACATATTGAGGTAAAACATGTGATTCATTTCTAACCAACCAGAGAATCAAGTTCTTCTGGCCACAGTGATGGGTTCAGAAAAAGAAAACTTCCAAGTTGGGCCAGTTACAGTAAATCCTGTGATTTATGTTAAGTAAGAGAAACTAAGAAAAACTACTAGTTTTCCTACCCAACTTGAACTTGAACAAATGAAGACCTGAAATTCCTAGCAGTCATCTTGTCACCACCTTGAGCCTGAAAATAAAATGACAGTAGAACTGAGAGTTGAAGAGATACCAGGTTCTGTAGACATTATTTCAAGTTGTATAACCTTACCCTAGAGGGTAGCCAATAAGTTCTGTTTTGCTGAAGCCAATTTGAGTTATTTTTGGTCAGTTATAACTGAAAATTCCCTGCATATATATTACACATAAGTCTTTGATTTTGGTTTGAGCCAAATTTTGTCTTACCATTGTAGGACATATGGTAGGTCTTTAATTAAAAAAACCTGTTGAATGAGTTTGTCACTGTGCAAATACTATATTTAACTTTTTGTTTTGCTTTGTTGAGACTGGGTCTCACTATATAGTCCAGGCTGGCCTCAAACTTTTAATTCTTCTGCTTCAGTTTCCTGAGTGTTGGATTACAGTCATGCATTACTCTACCTGGCTTATTTAAGATATCTCACATTGTTTGCTATGGCTGCTCTCTTATTTCCTTTTTTAGTTTCTGTCTTAGGGTATCAGTGTTATGCTATACAGATTTCTTTGTGCAATTACAACATTGATTTTTGGATTTTTTGTTTTGTCTTTTTGATGAGTTTGAACTCAGGGCTTTACACTGACTAAGCAGGCACTCTACTGCTTCAACCACTTCACCAGCCACAACATTCATTTTTTAAAAGCATTGACATTATCTCTTTGTTTGAAAATGTTCATCTGGCCAGGTATGTTGGCACCCACTTAAAACTCCCAACACTCGCAGGGCAGTGGTGGCTCATGCCTGTAATCCTAGCTACTTAGGAGGTAGTGATCAGGAGGATTGGTTTGAAGCCAGTCTGGGCAAATAGGAAAATAGCCCTTGAGACCCTATCTCAAAAACACCCATCACACAAAAGGGCTGGTGGAGTGGCTCAAGGTGGGCCCCAAGTTCAAAACCCAGTACCGCAAAAAAAAAAAAAATCCCAACACTAGGAGGCTGAGGCACAAGGATTATGAGTTCAAGACCAGTGTGGGCTATATTGGGAGACCCCATCAAGAAAAACAAACAAAAATAATTCACCTGTAGAATCACCTACTGCATATGTTTTTGTCTTTGATAATTTTCTCAATCTCTTTCTTCTTAGGTAAACTTTGTTAACTTATGTTTTAGAAAGTATACAGATTTTCAAGTTTATTTACACAAACTTCACAATTCTTTTACATTCTTCTGTATTAGTGATAATTTTCCCTTCCTATTTTTAATTTTCTTTTTTCTTCTTTTTGGTGGTGCTAAGATTTGAACTCAGGGCCTCCTGCTTGCTGGGCAGGTGCTCTACCACTTGAGCCATACCCTCAGCCCTTTTTACGTTTTAAATTTTCACTGGAATATTTCAGATTAGTTTTAGGTTGTCTGAATAGGAGTTACACTTACCAAATTATATTCATACCAAGTCAGATGTGCAAGATTACTTAGCAAATACACTGTTAGGAAATGTTGCGGGATATTCAAGCAGGGAAACTGGACACCAAGGCTTTTCAGGAAGTAATATTTATTAGTGTGCCAGCAGCAGCTCAGCGGATTCCCATCCAAAGGCTGAGCTCCAAGAACAAAGGGGCTTTGCCTTTTATACCTTTGCAAGCAGGTTACAGAAGCAAGAAGCAGAGTTTAACCCACATATGGTTGCATGCATCTCTGTTGGCTACATCACCCTCAAGTGCTTTGTGACCTTCCTCACGTTTGAATGACATAACCATGAAAAGAACTCTAAGTTTTGTTCTGTTTTGCTTTTTTGGTGATACTGGGGTTTGAACTCAGGGCATAGTGCTTGCTAGGCAGGGGCTGTGCCACTTGAGCCATGCCTCTGCCCCACCCCCATTTTTTTCAAGTTGTTTTGGAAAATAACCAAGAAGACGGACAAAAAGGCACTTCATTGGGAACTTCAGTGCCTTTAAACCAGTGACTGCAAGGCCTCATGCAGTATGCTGTTTTCCCACTCTGATGTATGAATAAGCACAATACTCCCTGTGGAGAGTCTTCTTAGTGCAGTTCACACTAATTGATTTGGTTTAAATAGATGAAGAATTTGCAAATAATTTAGAATTACAGTCTAGTCTGAATTACAGGGATAGTATGGAGACATTACTGAGTAATCTGTTAGGAAATTAAAAATCAGAAATCAATGAGATACATCAAAAGAAAAACTTTATTTCACTTTGTTATCTTACGGAGTTCAGAAAATTCTTCCAAAGTAGACATTTGGGGCAGTGCTTCACTGTTGCTACATTAAGTATTCTCCTTCTGCAGGGAGTGGTGTACGACATCAGTATATAAATAATAGCCACTTGAAATGGAAAAATAAAATAAAAAGTGGGTGTGAAAACCATCCAAAGTAGCAGTCCACCCCCTCACAGCTGTAAATTACTCATCAGTCGTTAATGTCATTGTACTGAGGTGCAGCTGAGTCAGCCACAACCCTGGCTGCAATGAAGCAGAATTTAATCTCATCTTTTCAGTACAAGGTTTTTACGTCATGCATTAGTTCCAGAGGAATGACCAATCCTTTGTAGAATGAATTCTATCCAACTTGACTCTGAACAGTTTGGTTCCAGATGAATCAATTATTCTCAGTTTAACAAAAAAAACCCCAAGTAATCCTTTCCTTGACAATTTTCTGCCAAAAACAATCTAGAAAGATAAAGGAAGAACAGAAGTGTTCACTTTTATATCTGCCTTACATTCTTTGGAATCTAACTACTTTGATTCATTACTATATGCTTTGTTTCTTAGGTACCATGTTTATAAGCAAATGCTTAAAATAGAACAAAAAAGGCTGGACATGGTAGTACAGGACTGTAATCCCAGTACTCAGGAGCTAAGACAAGAGAAGAGCAAGTTCAAGGCCACCTTAGGCTACGTAGTGAGTTCCAGGTAAGACCCCATATCTCTAAAAAACAAAAGAACAAATTTCTGGGTAGTGGGCTAAGGATATAGCTCAGTGTTAGAGCCCATGCTTAGCACTCAAGGGGCCCTGAGTTCAATCCCCAACACCAAAAGAGAGGGAAGGGGTAGTAATTCTCTAATTTTTATAGAAATCTTTACTTTAAATCCTGTCAAATATACACTAGCCTAATACAGTAAGATATGGCTCCATTAAGAAACTGAAGTCAGGCATCATGACACGTGCCTGTAATCCTAACTATTTAGGAGGCCGAGGCAGGAGGATATCAAGTATGAAGTCACCCTAGGCAATTTAATTTAGTAAGGCCCTCTCTCAAAATTAAAAAAAAAAAAAAATGGGGGGGGGGTGCGGTACGGCTGGTAAGTGGCTCAAGTGGTAGAGTGCCTGCCTAGCAAGTGTGAAGTACTGAGTTCAAACCCCAGTACTGCCAAAAAAAATACTAAAATTTAAAAAAAACCAAAAATTCAAAAAACAAACAAACTGGGGGTTTGAGATGTAACTCAGTGGTAGAGAAATGGGAGGCCTTGGGTTCAGCCCCAGTGGGAGGTTGGAGGCTACTGGGCCTTATAATTTTCCTGTAAAAAAGATGTACAATCATCCATGCAATTAAACCACATATTACATATCTGTCATAAAGAGCTCTATTAGTAGGTATAAAATTTAATATAATTTATGAATCTTGTTACAACTGGTATTTTAAAATTTTTGTATCTATCTGACTTTTTACTTGGATTCTTATACGTAAGCTAAAATTTTTAAATAGGCTTTAGTCATACTCTTTCTACCCTCACCCGCCTATTTTCTTTGTTATGTATTCATAATTGCACTGGGGATTGAACCCATGGTCCCGAGATGCTAAGCAAACATTCTACCACTTGAGTCACACCCCTAGCCCTTTTGTTTATATTTTTATTTCTGAGATAAGCCCAGGCTGGCTTCAAACCCTTGATCCTCTTGTCTCTACCTCTTCAGTATTATGTGTGGGCCACCATGCCTAGTATTAAAATTTTATTTATTTATTTATTCTATTTATGGTAGTAGGATTTGAACTCAGGGCCTTCCACTAACTAGGCAACCAACTATTGGAGCCACACCCCCAGCCCTTTTTTCTTTAGTGTTTTTTCAGATAGGGTCTTATCTAGGGCCAGCCTGTACTGAGGTCCTCCTACCTATGCCTCCCATGGGAGGGGTTTGACCCACTATGCCTAGCTTGTTTCTTGAGATGATCTCATGAACTTTTTGCCTGGCTGGCCTCAAACTGATTCTCCTGATCTCCACCTCCTGAACAGCTGGGATTGTAGGCATGTGCTGCAATGTCCAGCCCTTTTTTTTTTTTTTTAAACTTGAGACAAGGTCTTGCTATGTTGCCTAGGCCTATCTGGAACTCCTGGGTTCAAGTAATCCTTTCACCTAAGCCTGCAAGTATATCACTCACCAGCTCTTTGTTGTGTATTCATATTCGTCACTTTACTTCCTCCATTTATCAAGATATCATTTATGACAACCTCCTGTTGTTCCATTTACCTTCCATATACTACTTAACCTGTTTCTAAATACACTTGTATTTTCTCTCTCTTTTTTTTTTTATTTGAAGTTTTCAAAAATTTTCCCCACTACCACTATATAATCACCTGGTGGGTAAATATGATTAAATCTAGTATTCTCTAGTATTTGGCAGATATTTTCTGTGGATCACTACACATGATAAGATTTTGGTATCTTTAAACAAATAATTTAGAAGGGTACTCACCCACAGACCCTTCTGTGCCTTCTGTTTCCTTTGGGATATAATGTGCAGAAAGATCACTCTGAAGGACTTCATCTGATGTGGCTCTGGCTAAAGCAGCAGCCAAAAAGGAAGGACAGTTACTAAAAGAAAAAAATACAAGGTTGTTCTCAGTAAGAATTAGGAAGTAATGCATTTAACATTCTAAAATAATTATGTATCAGGGCGGACACTGGTGGCTCATGGCTGTAATTGTAGCTCCTGAGGAGGCAGAGATCAGGAAGATCAAAGTTCATGGCCAGCCTAACCAAATAGTTCTCAAGACCCTATCTTGAAAAAGACCCTTCACATAAAAGGGCTAGTGGCGTGGCTCAAGAAGTAGAGCACCTGCTTTGCAAGCCTTAGTTCCTGAGTTGAAACACCAGTACCGCAAAAAAAAAAAAAAAAAAAATTAGAACATCTCAAAGTTACACATTTAAACAATTCAACAAGTATTTGTTGAGTGCCTATCATGTGGTAGGCCTTTGCTAGACACTACATAGAATGGAATAAGAAAAAGGAGGATGACCACTTGTTATAAATATAGGAGAGAAGAAAAAAACATGAGTTGTATTTTGAAGAAAAATAAAATAGAGCTTGCTGATGATTGCATGTACAGGCGAGAGAGAGAGAAAAAAGAATTAAGACTGACTCCTGGATTTTGGTGTGAACAACTAAGTGAATGGTAGGATCATCTATAAAGACAGGAAAACCAGAAAAAGAACAGGTTTGCAGAGGAAATAGGGGTAAGTAGAAAACAAGTTCACTTTAACATGTTAAGTTGGAATGTGAGATTTCAGTGAAGGTATAAAATGGTTACTTGGATATCCTAGCGTGGTGCTTAGAGATGTTGAAAAGTTCAGAAGTCAAGAGTGTATGGATGATACTTAAAGCTGTAAGAATAGAAAGCTGGTAGTTTACACCTGTAATCCTGGCTACTCAGGAGGCAGAGATTAGTAGGATCATGGTTCAAAGCAAACCTGGGCAAATAGTTTGAAAGACCCTATCTCAAAAAAAAAAAAAAAAAATCACAATAAAAGGGCTGATGGAGTAACTCAAGGTAGGCCCTGAGTTCAAACACCAGTATTACAAAAAAAAAAAAAAAAAAAGAAAGAAAGAAGAAAAAACAAAAGCTGTAGGAATAGAAACAATCACATAGGGAGAAAATATGAAAAGATAATTGTTCTGTCAGGATCAGTGACTTTTTTTTTGATCAGTGATTTCTGTGGGTCTCCTGGTTTCCTCCTTTGGAATGGAAAGATTATCCTATCTATGCCTCATTATTATGTAGTCTGGGGTACAGTGAGAAAAAGAAGTGTTTGCCTGCCTTTTTAGTTCACAGATAATCAGATCAAATGGAACTACAGCCAGGGAGCTGTAATCAAAGAATCTCACCTGAACCTAGGCCTGAACTCATAGAGATCTTGAACTTCAAAGGCTGGGCCTGAAGCCAACATGATCAGACTTTGGGAGACTTCAGGGGAGAGAATGAGTGAATTTAGCACATGGGAATGATGTGAACTATGGCTAGAAAAGAGAAAAGACTGTGGTAGATTATTTGTCTTTAAGAGGTCACAGTAATTCTTCTAGTTCCACATGTTTTTGTTGTTGTTTGTAGTGCTGGAGATCTAATGCAAGGCCTCAGACATGCTAGGCAAGTGCTCTACTACTGAGTTACATCCCCAGCCCCCATGCTATTTTAGAACCTCACTATTCCCAATGGGGTCTGTTTTCCTTCCTTTAAATGTGGGTAAGATTTGGTGACTACTTTCATTTTTGAAAAAATGATAAAAGCGGTGCTCTGTCATTTCTGAAGTTTGGTCATAAAAGGCCACATGGCGTTCCCTTGGCTTCCTCCTCCTTTCTTCCTTTCTCTTCTTCTCAACTGCTTGTTCTGCAACCCAGCCACCATGGAAAAACCCCATGTACAGGCTCATGTGGATATAAAGTGAGCACCCGCCTCCTCACCCCAACTACTAGCCATCATCAACTGCTTGACATGTAAGTGCACAGCCTTCATAAAATACTAGTCTCCAGCTTGAGTCTTCCAGGTGAGGCTTCAGACATGGGGGAACAGAGACAGACTTGACTGTTTTGCATGGTATGAACTCCTGACCCAAAGAAACTCTAGTACAACAAATGACTTATTATGGGTTAATTTGTTACACAGCCACAGTAACTGAAAACCCAACGTTTTAAAGCTTAGTAGAAAATAACTAGTAACATAAATAACAGGAGAACAAAAAGACTAGAGTATATGAAGGAGGGATGGTCAATTCTTGTCAGTCTGGCTGAGAGGTCAAATACCGTAAGTGAAAAAGGAATATTATATCTGATAACATGCAAATCATTACTGACTAGGCACCAAGACAATACAATGAGGGAAAGAACGATCTTTTCAACAAATGGTGCTAGGACAACTGGATATACATAATCCAAAACAATTAAGTTGGACTCCTCCCTTACGCCTATCAAATTAACTCAAAATGCATCATATGGGATATAGTTCAATGATAGAACTCTTGCCTAACATGCACAAGGTCCTGGTTTCAATCCCCAGCACTGCCAAAAAAAAGATGACAAGTAATAACAAGTGTTGGTAACTATGTGGAGAAATTGGAACCCTCATGTATTGTTAAGTGAGAATGTAAAATGATTTAATTGCTTTGGCAGGTCCTTAAAAATATTCAGGCATGTGCCTAGCAAGTAGGAGGCCTTCAGTTCAAACCCCAGTATTCCCCCCAAAAGTATTTAAACATAAAGTTGCCATATTGCCCAGCATTGAATTGATGAGAGCCCTTTAAAATCCAAATGATTTACAAATTATTATAATTTCTTCTTTCATGCTGTCCAGATTAATTGAACTTTTCTTGATGAATCAAAATTTCCCTCCACAAGCCAGGCATGGTGGCTCACATCTATACTACCTATAAAGGAGGTAGAAATCGGAAGAGGCCAGCCTAGGCAAAGAGCAAGACCCCATCACAACCAATAAAAAGCTGGGTATGCCTGTTATCCTATCTACACAGGAAGCATAGGAGGATCGTGGTGCAGGCCAGCCTGGGCATAAAAGCGAGGCCTATGGACTGTCAGAGTGGCTGGAGTAGTAAAGTGTCTACCTAGCTAGCAAGTACCTGGCCCAGAGATCACCCTCCAATACTGCCAATTAAAAAAAAAAATTCCCTCACAGACCAAAACTTTTGTGAGCATTACTCACAAAAAATAATTACTTTCTTTATATGTGTGTTTTTTTTTTTTTTTTGGTGGCACTGGGGTTCAAACTTGGCTTCACACTTGGAAGGCAAGGCACTCTATCACTTGAGCCACACCTCCAGCCCTCGTCTTTACCTTTCTGACATGCTTTCACTGTTATTAACTAAACGCATTCCAAATAGTTCACCTAAGTAGACTTTTAGTATATAATTAGGACATCTAATTAGTTCCTTTGTTTATTTTTAAATCTATGTAAAAATGATCTGACAGCCTTTATTGTAATATAGCTCCCTAGAATTCCAAAAGAAAATGGTATCTTCCATGTAATTAAACTATCTCGGTATAGGTTCATGAAAGGTAAGAATATAAAAACTTTAGAGAATAAGGCAAGAACCATTAGTTAACGTTAATGTGTCATTTGCAGTACATTTTTAGGCACATTTAATAGAATTTTTTACTTTTGTCAGACAGAATGAAAATATTTTCAGTGAAGTAGGAAGGAAGATTAGTTGACTAATAGCTAGATATAAAACATCAAGCTAGACGCTTCACCCACAGCAGCCCTTCCTACATGTCAGAAAGATAGAACACTAGCATGAATAACTCTTAAGAGTTTTGACTCTGAATTCAAAGTGATGGTTTCTGAAAAATCAGAATTGCAAATTTATTTTAAAGCACAGTCACATCAGAAAATATGTTATACACTTGAAATAAAAGCTTATCATTAATGCTTACCATTTTAAGAGCATTACCAGGAGTGACTAACATGATAATAACATAGCAAACTACTTTTTCATAATTTCTCTTAAAATGCTTAAAAGATCCTGATGCTGAAGGTTTAAAAGTTTAGTAAATGTAGTAAGCACAGCAACTATCAGAAGACAGCCAATACTTATGACAGTTTGAAGAAACAGACTTACAATGTTACTGTATTGGGGACACTGCTGATGTTCAGTATGACTAGAAATTTTTTTTAACTTTAGCCATCTGCAGCCTTTGGGTGGACTGAATCTTTTATAGTCTAATTGTTAGAGCCCTCAAATATAATCCATACTTAATGCTTTGCTTTTCATGGGTGTGCGTGTGTGTGTGTGTGTGTGTGTGTGTGTGTGTGTGAGAGAGAGAGAGAGAGAGAGAGAGAGAGAACACAAATTTTGAAGTGCTTTCCATTCTGGCCTTTAAATAAGCAATTCACATTGTGAACAAAAGGAAATGTGTTTTCTACACACCAATATCTTTTTTTGTTTGGCAGTACTGGAGTTTGAACTCAAGGCCTCAAGTTTGAACTGCTTGCTAAGTAGGTGCTCTACCACTTGAGCCACCTCACCAGCCCTTTTTTGTGTTGGGTATTTTCAAGACAGGATCTCATGAAGTATTTGCCCAGGCTTACAGGCATGAGCCACTAGCACCTGGCAACACCTTTTAAACAATGTTAAAAATCATTAATTAGGGATCTACTTAGTTTAACTTTTTCAGTCATATATGTAAAACACTCTACTATTAAAGCTACTTTTTTTTTTTCCAGTACTGGAGCTTGAACTCAGGGTCTTCACCGTTAGCCATTCCCCCAGCCCTATTTTTGTGAATGGTTTTTCCAGACAGGGTCTCGAGAACTGTTTGCCTAGGCTGTCTTTAAACCGAGGTCCTCCTGGTCTCTGCCTCCTGAATAGCTAGGATTATAGGTGTCAGCCACCAGCACCTGGCTGTATTAAAGCTACTTCATGAATACATGAATGTGTACCTGAATTTTTGTGTGTAATGATTTTCTCATTATTATATATTGTAAAGCAGAAATCAGGTTCTAGTAAAGCTTCACAATCTGAGTTTAGCAAACAAAGCCAGATTTTTGCTTTAAGCTAACAATAAATATTCTTCAACTACACACACATAAACAAAGACCCCCCCCCCGCCCCCAAAACTAGAATTCATGAACATTCTGTGGCCTGGAATCATTTTTATCCTCCAGGTATTTATCTGAGTAGGTCAACCTTGCTTCTTCAATTCTGTTTCAAAGCTAGGGGGACTGGGAGTATTCCTCAATGGTAGAACAATGTTTAGCATGCAGAAGGGCCTGGATCTCAGCACCCTCCCCACTCAAAAACAACACCAACAAAAAAACCAAACAACAGCAACAAAAAAACCCTATACCCTAAAACATGTTTGGTGAAATCTTCAACAATTCAGTACTTATCAATGTTTAGGCAAGTTAGTTTAGTTGTTTCAGTGTCTGGGGCTGTATTTAAGGAGATAGGTGTGAAATCATTATGGGAGCTACCCAAGTAGTCCTCAGAATCAGGGCTGGGGTGTAGGTCGGTGATAGAATGCATGCTTAGCATGTGTGAGCAGAAAGGAAAGGAGGAAGAACAGTGGGAGGGGGTTGACTGAGCATACTCAATTTATTGATATATATAGATATGAAGGATTATACTTATATATACCTAGGTATCCCAGACATTGAAAAATCACCTTGTAACATAATGATTTCTCCAGTTGCTGCAAAGATTAAAAACAACAAAAAAGAAAAGATAGGACTGAAGGTGTGGCTCAGTAGCATTTACCCAGCATAATAAGGCCCTGTGTTCAATTCCTAACACTGCAAAAAAATTAAAATAATTTTTTAAAAATTATGGTTCACTATTGACTTTGGAGCCTGAACATATGAAGCAACACACTGGGACATTATGGTTTCTCTTCAGATGGTATAAATCTTTTACCTTTTACATATGTAGCTACACATTGAAAGAGACCTAAAAACAATTTCTGGCCAGGCACCAGTGGCTCACTCCTATAATTCTAGCTACTCAGGCGGCAGAGATCAGGAGAATCATGGTTAGAGACCAGCCTGGGCAAATAGTTCACAAAACCCCATTTCAAAAATACCACCACAAAAAATGTGCTGTCAGAATGGCTCAAGTAGTAGAGAGCCTGCTTTGCAAGTGCAAAGACCTGAGTTCAAATTTCAGTCTTACCAAAAAAATTCTGCCAACTCATTTAATTGCTATTCAACTAATCTGTTAATTCTAACTGGGGGACCTTAGAAAAAATGCTTAAACTCTGAGTTTCAGTTTCATCAACTGGAAAATTAAGAAATTAGAGTAAGTCTCTTCCAGGTCTAAAGTTCCACTTCTATAATTCTGTTCTAAATAAGGTTTTTAATTTTAAAGATGGAGCAGTTTAAAAGTAGAGCTGGTACATACTTCTAATCCCAGCTACTTGGGAGGCTGAGGCAGGAGGATCTCTTGAG